AGGGAGGGAGGGAGGGAGGAGAAAAGGAAGAGTAATAGCAATCACCCTTAGACTTATATACTGCTTCGTAGTGCTTTACAGCCCTCTCTAAGCAGTTTACAGAGTCAGCCTCTTGCCCCCAACAATCTAGGTCCTCATTTTACCCACCTCGGAAGGAGGGAAGGCTGAGTCAACCTTGAGCCTGGTGAGATCTGAACTACCAAATTGCAGGCAATCGATAGGTAGCAGAAGTAGACCGCAGTACTGAACTCTAACCACTGTGCCACTTTGGCTCTAACAAACTCCTCAGGCACCAAAGGAGGAGTGGATCTCGTCTGCAGGCGATGGAGACACTGGAACAAGCAAGAAGTGCCCACTCTGATGGCTGCAGCCTCTGTCCCCCTCCCCTCCCTCCCCCTCCTGACATTTGGGCACCAGCTTCCTTTTGGGTTCCACTGCTGAACTCTGGAGGAGCAACAACTTTGGCAGTGGGGGCCTCGTTCTTTTAAAGATGTGTTCGGCTCTATTAATTTTACTAAACAGAACAGAGAAAACGGGAAAAAAGAGGTGGGATCCACAGAAATGAGGGCGTCTCGCACATGTATGCAGCATGTAAAGTTTTACACATTTTTCATATGGTGACTGTACATCAGCACATGATCTGCCCCTGCGCATAAGACAGAGGCAGAACCTTTGCATTTTGGAAACTGGGTGTAAACAGTCACCATCCTGATGTTGGTTCCCTGTGTCTCGTGCATAAATTGCCAGTGGCATCTTCAAACCAATGAATAACAAGGAGCCATCCATGTGGCTTTCCAACTGGAAGGTCTCCAACCCTTTTCTCTAAAATAATGGAGTTGGGGGTTTCTTTTCTTGAATTTTGAAGGAGGCACATCTCACATTAAGCAAGATCTGAAAATAAAGGCCCGACATTGTGCATATCAAAGATTTACCCAAATCCCTCCAGGCCTTCCTGTCCTCTACAATCCCCTGGAGTCCATTTAAGCTCACACCGACTGCTTCTTCGGTGACTCCATCCAGCTACCTCCTTTTCTGCCACCCCTTCTTCTTTTGCCTTCCAGCCTTAGGCTCTTCTCCAGGGAGTCCTTCCTTCTCATTAGGCGGCCAAAGTATTGGAGTTTCCTCTTCAGGATCTGGCCTTCTAAAGAGTAGTCCGGGTTGATCTCCTCTAGACCGGCTGGATCGCCTTGCAGTCCAAGGGACTCACAGGAGTTTTCCTTAGCACCAGAGTTCAAAAGCCTCCATTCTTTGACTTCCTTCCTTCTCATTAGGTGGCCAAAGTCTTTGAGTTTCCTCTTCAGGATCCGGCCTTCTAAAGAGCAGTCAGGGTTGATCTCCTCTAGATTNTATAATATAATATAATATAATATAATATAATATAATATAATATAATATAATATAATATAATATAATATAATATAATATAATATAATATAATAAAGGCTTTGGCTGAACTACTGGCTGGTCCACCTGCGCCCCTGGCCAGGCCTTTCAGCCAGTATTGCTTGTTTTCTGCTGGGCTTCAGGGAGGCTGCCATAACCCATTTTGTCTTTTCTGCAGAACTGGCGACATGTCCTGGCTGACGGGGAAAGGCTCTTAAGAGGTGGGGATCCTGTGTCTGGTTCCCTTTCAGGGACCTTCCTCCAGGTGTGACAAGCCCGACCTTCCCCTGAGACTCTTCTCCCAGCTGTCCCTTTGTCTCAAGGATCTCTCTGGAGAGCATCGGAGGTGGACTTGCCCTTGACCTGCTGTGAGACAGTTGTAGCAGCTCCCAGGGCGGGGCTGAAGGAAGGAACAGTGGGACCGCCGGGCTGGAATGCTGTCCATGGACGGGGCAGGAGAAGGAAGGGATATACAAAAGTGGCGGGCACCTTTTGCAGGCTGGCACAAACTGCTAAGCCTGCCATGGGAGAGGGCTCAGCTTCCTCAGGATGCTGCCTGGCACCACCCTTCCCTTCTCCCAAGTCAAGCCCATCCCCACTTCTCCTGCAGTGCCATGTGCCAAAATGTCTCCTTGCATCATATGGAGGGAGGCAGAAGACGGAAAAGGCCCTGGGACACTGGGAAACCATAACGTGGCCTGAGCAGCTTGTTCCTTGTTCCTCTGGGCTGAACCTCCCTTGATCTACTGGGATGACTGGAATCTGCTTATTCTTCCCTGGGTCCATCTCGCCCCACTTTTTTGGGTGGGGGGGCAATGCACTTTATAGATTCCAGACCAAGTTTCTTCTTCAGGAATGCTGCAGAATTCCTATCTCGGATTACTGAATGACTAGGGAAGGATTGTCTTCTTGGCTATTAATTGAAAGTACGTTGGCCTTTTCATTAAATCAAGCTTAATTTTTGTTCTCTTCCTTCCCCCTTTATTGGAATGCAACCTCTTAGTCTGGAAAGGCCAAAACCAACCCCAGGCAGAAAATGTTCTCTCTCTTTTTCCCCTCCCAGTGTGATTGATTCATAAATCTACATGGGGGGAAACTGAGTCATCCTGGTCACACTCAGACTAGTGAAATCGTCACTGGGTTTGACGTGTGAGGCACAGCTTCATGGGGCCACTCTCTTTAGTTTTTATGCTACAGTTAATCCTCGACTTACAACCATTCATTTAGCGACTGTTCAAAGCTCCAACGGCCCTGAAAAAAAGCAACTGGCAACAAGTCCTTGCACTTACAACCATCGCAACGTTCATTGTATTCAAAATTGCATGCTTAGTAACCAGCATGTATTTTCGAGGGTTGCAGAGTCCCAGGGTCGTGTGTTCACCATTTGCGACGTTCCCAGCAGACTTCCAACACCCAGAGTCAAGGGGGAAACCAGTTTCACTTAATGACCATGTGATTCACTTAACTGCAGTGATTCATTTAACAACGGTGGGAAAAAAGGTCATAGAATTGGGTGAAAATCACCGTAGCAACAGAAATGCTGGTCCCAATTGTGGTCGGAATTTGAGGACTACCTGTACACCCTTTGGAACACCCCCCCCTGTGGCTCCCCATCCCAGGTGCTCAAGTAAGAGGGCGGTTGGGCTGGCCTAACGTGGCCTCTCCTGCATCATGTAGGCGTTCACAATCCCCCACTTTTTAAAAAGGTTCTTAATAAACCAAATATATGCTTTGCATCTATGTTATGTTAATCTCCAGTGCTTTTCTCTTGGTGGAAGAAACGTGGCAGTCACCCAGGGTCGAAAGGGGCAGGGAATTGGGAAGGGAAAAAGAAGGCCAGCAACACTCACCTGGATCTTTGGCAGGTGCCTGTCTACTCTGTAGAGTTGAATGTTCACCCTGGACAAAGGCTCAACACTCAGGAAGAGGAGGGAGGGAGTCTTCCACTTCTGTTGGACTAGAGCTTCCACCATGTCTTACATTCCAAGGTGGCGCAGTGGTTAAATGCAGCACTGCAGGCTACTGCTAGATCAGCAGGTCAGCGGTTCAAATCTCACCGGCTCAGGGTTGACT